ACAGCAATTCCGAAAGGAAATGGCACGAAGGCAAAATCTTGACGCAATGGAAGGCCCTTGGAATGATCCAATTCAGTGGTTTTACAAACCCACCACAAATTGGTGCCTCGGCAGACACTCGAAACCTCTGATCTAACCCCAGACTTAAGTGTTCCTTTTCTTCTTCAGGGATTCCTCTAATTTGTGAAGTCACTTTGAAAGAATGTGAGCGTGGGGCAGGAGGGAGGGAGCATGTGGTGACCTGGTCACTGGACTCTGGTTCCAAGTTCTGTTTCAGGAGGGGACAGGCCAGATTTTGCTCCAGACATAGGTCACTTCCCCAGGGTCGGAAATGAACTTAAAGGCTAAGAAACCCACATTTAAGGTCAAAACCAGGAGCTGGAAGAGGAGGAAAGGAGAGTGGAAGGGGTTAAGAAGCAGCTGGGCAAGAGCAGAAGATGCTCCAGCAGGGACAGAAGCACACCGTGGCCCTCCTTCCCATTTACAGCACATTCCATCTGGAGAGGTCAACCGCAGTATTCATCATGTGGACAGGAGAAAAGGATGTAAAAAAAACCATTTCTCTTATCCCACTTTGAAATGTGAAAGTGCTATTATTACATTTAAAATGCATGAAAAACCCCTCTGCTGCCTGAAGAGTAGGAAACCATCCATTAGTTCAATAAATACTTCCAAAGGCAATTTTCGTCATTTTCTTCAAGAATGTTTCTTTCAACTGAGACATGCTGAATGATTAATCCCTAGTAACTTCCTACCGTGGCAGTGCTAAACAATGTTTGTTAGAAACACCTTTGGGGCCAGGCGTGGTGGCTCACATCCGTAATCCCAGCACTCTGGGAGGCTGAGGCAGGCGCATCACGAGGTCAGGAGATCGAGACCATCCTGGCTAACACGGTGAAACCCCGTCTCTACTAAAAATACAAAAAAATTAGCTGGGCGTGGTGGCGGGTGCCTGTAGTCCCAGCTACTCGGGAGGCTGAGGCAGGAGAATGGCGTGAACCCGTGAAGCGGAGCTTGCAGTGAACTGAGACTGCGCCACTGCACTCCAGCCTGGGCGACACAGTGAGACTTCGTCTCAAAAAAAAAAAAAAAAAAAACAAAAAAACCCCTTGGGTACAATTTCCCGAACCAGAGTCTAAAGACAGTGAGTGTCTTCAGACCGACCAGAGGGCTCCATCGCCGTCGCTCCATTTTCTCCACTTCTGTTAGGAGTCATTCCAGAGCGAGATCCTGCTGGGTGCTGATAGTGAACCATACACAGTACTGATCAGGTTAAGCTCTCTGAACCTTCACCATTCTTTTTTTTTTTTTTTTTTTTTTTAAGAGAAGTCTCACTCTTGTTCCCCAGGTTCGAGCGCAATGGCTTTATCTCGGCTCACTGCAACCTCCACCTCCCGGGTTCAAACGATTCTCCTGCCTCTGCCTCCCAAGTAGCTGGGACTAAGGCGCCTGCCACCACACCAGGGTAATTTTTGTACTTTTTAGTAGAGACGGGGTTTCACCATGTTGGCCAGGCTGGTCTTGAACTCCTGACCTCAGATGATCCACCCGCCTCGGCCTTCCAAAGTGCTGGGATTACAGACATGAGCCACCACACCTGGTCACCTTCACCATTCTTTATCTGCAGAGTAAAAATTTAAAACAGGTTGGGCGCGGTGGCTCACACCTGGAATCCCAGCACTTTGGGAGGCTGAGGCAGGTGGATCACGAGGTCAGGAGATCGAGACCATCCTGGCTAACACGGTGAAACCCCGTCTCTACTAAAAATACAAAAAAATTAGCTGGGCGTGGTGGCGGGTGCCTGTAGTCGCAGCTACTCGGGAGGCTGAGGCAGGAGAATGGTGTGAACCCGGGAAGCAGAGCTTGCAGTGAGCTGAGACTGCGCCACTGCACTCCAGCCTGGGTGACAGAGCGAGACTCTGTCTCAAAAAAAAAAAAAAAAGTAAAATATCTCACTATTTAAATCACAAGGTCTAGCTGGCAATCATATGGGAGCACATTACATGTGCTGGCCTGTACTGCTTGATGAAGTCTGTATGGACAGAGGCTGCTTACATGCTACACTGATATATACATATTTTTTGTAGATGGAGTCTCGCTCTGTCATCCAGGCTTGAGTGCAGTGGCGCAATCTCGGCTCACTGCAACCTCTGCCTCCTGGGTTGAAGCAATTCTCCTGCCTCAGCCTCCCAAGTAGCTGTGATTACAGGGGCATGCCGCCACTCCCGGCTAATTTTTTTGTATTTTTAGTAGAGACAGGGTTTCACGGTGTTGACCAGGCTGGTTTCAAACTCCTGAGCTTAGACAATCCACCTGCCTTGGCCTCCCAAAGTGCTAGGATTACAGGCGCGAGCCACTGAACCCAGCCTACACTAAGAAGACTTCTGAGGCCTGTTCCTGCAGAAGGAGGGAGTGTCACTGGCTTCTAGCAGGAAAGAGGTAGATGGGGCAGGCATCAGCCATCTGCCCTCTAAAAACATTAGTTCTCATTATCTGGAATATGATTCTATGGGTAAATCTTAGTGAAGAAGAGCCTTTAGGCTATAAATAGGTAATATGAGTTATTCTACATTATTCTGATTCTCTTTCTTTCTTAAACTATATAGATGTTGTGACATCATACGGAATTTATGGCATAAAATAGGGATAATAACAGTATTTCCCCCTCATAAGGGTGAGGATTAAATGTAAACCGCTTGGCACAAGGCCTGACCAACTGTAAGGGACCAGTAACTACATTAATAACATAGTTACCGATTAACAACTACATTCATATAACTTATTTTATAAATTATTTCAGAAATAAGGAAACTGAGGCACAGCTATAAAGCAATGTCCTGAGACTGGCACCTGGGGGCTGCCCTCTTCCTGCCAGACTTGAGTGCCTCAGAGTGCTACAACCCACCAGAGGGGAGAAGCCAACTGAGACAGCCCACTTACTTCTAAGGGACCAGCCCACACCAAAAGAGCCAGGCCTCCTACGCCGGCCTCACATGCCCCCACAGGTGTTATCAAGCTCAGAGTCAACTGGACGACCTGCTGTCCCTCAGACAGCTGCAAGTGCCTCACCACACCGGGACAATGTGCCTTTGCATCTGTGTCCTCTGCCCACCCTGGGACCATGAACAGCTCACTCCCTTTGCGAAACTTGACTGTAACTCCCTGTAGGAAGAATTTTCGGACTTTCCTGCTACACTTTCTCCTGACTGTGATCTCCTAAGGCACTCAGGTTCCACTTTTGATTTCTTCAAATATTTGTTTCTACCATGGGCCAAGCATTGGAGGTCCAAAAAGGAGCAGCAATTCTCGTCCCCGTCCCAGGCCTTCAGCACAGAGCAGGGAGGTGGATCTGCTCAATACCAGAAGTTTGAGCAACCTGTCCTATTTGGGCTACGTAGCTTGGGTGGTGAACCTGAGCCCGCCCTTTAGAGACTTTGGGAGGTAAGGCAGACCTTTTGGACAAACTGAGTTGCAAGAGGTGAAGCAAGGAAAACAGTTGGACTGTGCGGGGCTCGAACAACAAGCCAAGAAGGCTAAGAATAACAGTATTTAGAGAACACTTGCTATGTGCTCTATGTGCTATCTTACTTAATTCTCATAAACCATCACAAGGGGTAGGATGTATATTATCTCTACTTTAGAAATGAGAAAACTGAGGCTTCAGTGGTGAAGACAAATGTGTCTATTCTAGGGACCACACTACCTTATTCTCCCACCCCTGCCCTGGGGTGTGTAATGAGGGACTCTTTCTTACAAGTCAGCTGTAAGCCTATCCTGCCTATTATACACGCTGTCGTCTTCGTGCAATAAGGATATTTGATTTGATTTAAATACCATCCAGCTTGCACACTGTGATGGAATAGAGAGCAGGAGCTCATGAAGGCAGGGGCAAGTTTTATTTACCTTTACCTCCCAGAACCTAGAAGCGAGGTCAAACAGAAGCGCTCGGGGTAGCAGGAAGGCTCTATAGACATTGAAATGTGAATGCATGCCCAGCCCTTACCAGTTGTGTGACCTTAGGAAATTCACTTGTCCTATCTGTGCCTTAATTTTTTCACCAACCTACTAATGTATGTTCCTTAGTGAAAATTAAAAAAAAAAAAATTATATTAAAAAAACTAGGAAGCAATGAGTTTCCACAGAGTTACTTCCCAAGGAACAAGGTCACGCGCTTCAAGGGAGAGCCGATCAAACATCAAACGGAGCATCCCACACAGCCCCTACCCACTGTCCCTAAACCGCAGGAGCTCAAAGTAAACGCAGAAGGGTTAACAAGCAGCTGTCCAGGGCGCCGCCCGAAGTGACCGACTCCTCCTGACCCGGTTGGAAGAGTCACCGAAATAACACGAGTGCAGGGTCTTCAGGAGGGCGAGTTTCTAGGTCACTCCAGCTCAGAGAACAGCAGAGGCTTTCGGACTATAAAGTCACGGCCTCCGCCGCTTAACGAGGAAACCGACGCACCGAGGACGCAGCCGGTCCGAGAGCAGCATGGGGCCCAGATCCTGCCGTCCGGCTCCCCCTGCGCCCCCCGCTTACCTTCCTGAGGGCCCGCGCGCGAGACACCCCGGGCAGCCCTACGTCGTGGCGCGTCTTCCGGCCCAGGATCTGGAACTTCTGCCTGTTGACTTTCACCTCGAATGGATTGGAGTTGGCCTTCGCCGGGCCCCCTCGCGCTCCCGCCGGCGCCCCGGAGGTCTTCCTTCGCGCCCCGACCTTCTTGGCCTTCCCCATGGCGCCCGCCCCGCTGCGCCCAAGGCGCCGAGACCCGAAGAAAGACGCCTCGCGCACTACCCCGAGACACGTGCCGGGCAGCGGAACCGCCTCCTGGCCTCATCTCGCGAGAACAGCGCATCACCTCCGAGCTCGCGAGAGGTAAACACGGCGGCCGCAGGCTTCCGCTGGGCTCACTCGCCGACAGGCTCAGCGACTACAACTCCCAGCAGGCCACGCGCCGCGGCTCGCCGTGTACTCTTGGCGCAGGGCCTTCTGGGAGCTGTAGTGCCCCGGGCGCGGCGGCAAGGGGCGCTGCCTCTTCAGCTAAGCCGTTAGCGCCCAGCCCGCCCGGGTGCGGGTCGCGGGTGGCGGCGGCAGTGGCACCCCTGCCAGTGAGCCCCTGTCCGAAGTGGGCCACGGCATTGACTCGGGGCTGCCCGGGGACCAGGCACTGAGGAGGGAGCTGCGCGCGCGAGGCGAGGGTGATGGGGCCGAGAAGAACCGGGGCGATAGCGCGGCAGCGGTGACAGCTGGGACCCGCCGCGGTCGGGCTGCCCCCTCCCGTCGCCCCGACCGCTCCCCTGCTGGTGAGGGCCGGCGAAGGCGGCGGCGGCGGCGCCCCTGGTGGCAGTGGTGGTGGCGGCGGCGCCCCTGGTGGCAGTGGTGGCGGCGGCGGCGGGGCAGCCCCCCGGGATCGTGTCCGGGGCTCGAGGGAGGAGTGGGTGGCGCCCGGAGAGCTATGCGCGGACCTGTTCCGCCTTCTCAGTCTCTTCCTCCTCAGTCTCATCGGTCTCGCAGAATCCGCCGCCGGCGACGGCGGCGGCGGCGGCGGCGGCGCCAGAACATGGAGCTCGAGAACATCATGGCCAACTCGCTGCTGCTGAAAGCGCGTCAAGGTGGGTGTGCGGCAGGCGCCCCCGACCCCTCCCGGAGAACCCTGGCCCCCCTGAAGGAAGCTGACATCCCTGGAGAACCCCGATTTCCCTGGAGAGCCCCAACACCTCCCATTGGGGGAACCCAGATCTGCACGGAGCCAGAGCCGGGGTCTGTGCAGTGTGGTCAGGCTGCCGTGGCCAGGTCCCGATCTCGCATCTCCTGGCCCAAATGAGAGAAGTCTGCGCTTTGCTCTTCTTAGTGTTGCCCTGTGTCCTTGTGCTGTCCTCTCGGTGTGACCTCGGTGACAGTGTTGCTTCAGGATGGGGCAGGCAGTGTCCTGCTCGTGTTGGACAACCTGTCCCACCAAAAAAGAACGGCGTCTTTATGGTCTTAAGGGGGACAAAGAAGAGCAGCCTGGGAACTACTCTGGGTGAGAACCTTCAGAAGTGATTGTAAGGCAATGTTATTTTTAACATAACTGCTTGGTTTTGAGGTTTGATCTGAGGCTTTGTGGTGTGTCAAGTGTTGGCACGACATGGTGACAAATGAACAAGTTGGCAAAAATTCAGCCTTTTATCATTATTAAAGTGAGGCAGAAATTTAAAAATAGTAAGTACTGCATTCATTCACTCCAAGAAAAGTAAAAGCCAAGGTCCAGAATGTGGCAAGGCAGGGGTTAAAAAGAAAAACACAACAAGTTTTCTTTTGCTTAGCAAGCTCACTTCAAGGACAGTTATAAGATAACGCTGTTCCAGAAGTCAAAACCAAAGGAATAGGGTCCAGACACCCCCCTTTCGGAGCAGGGGTGAAGTTAAAAAAAAAAAAAAAAAAAAAAAAAAAAAGGACGAATGTCTGTATTTAGCCAGTTTTTGTTTTTTTCTTTCATCGCAGCTACAAGGCCACCAGCTATGCAAGGCCACAAGTTATGCCAAGTCATCAGTTATGCTATAGATTATGTGAGCTGTAATTATATGATTAACTGCCTTTGTTTTGCTTCTGTAAGTTTGCTTATACAAATCCTGCTCAGTCTTTGTTCAAGGCTCAACTTTTTGGATGCGAATCCACTGAGGCGGTGCGCACCTTAAAATAAATATCCTCCTGTTTTCACCCATCCTGGTCTCTCTAGTCCTCTGCCTCCCACCGCAAAAGCATCAGTTGGTCCAACCCTTCAGTGGGAGACTCCCGCAATCCTCTCTCTCGGACCTCATGTCTCCCTTGCTTGCCTCTCAAGAGAGCTAGTGACAGAGCCTCAGACCTCAAGTCCCCCTGTGCCAGCCACAGTAGTTCTTCACACCCCGTCACTCTTACGGAATTGCTGATTTCCTCTATTTTCTTTTTTCTTTTTTTTTTTTGAGATGGAGTCTTGCTCTGTCGCCCAGGCTGGAGTGCAGTGGCCGGATCTCAGCTCACTGCAAGCTCCGCCTCCCGGGTTCACACCATTCTCCTGCCTCAGCCTCCTGAGTAGCTGGGACTACAGGCGTCCGCCACCTCGCCCGGCTAGTTTTTTGTATTTTTTAGTAGAGACGGGGTTTCACTTTGTTAGCCAGGATGGTCTCGATCTTCTGACCACGTGATCCCCCGGTCTCGGCCTCCCAAAGTGCTGGGATTACAGGCTTGAGCCACCGCGCCCGGCCGATTTCCTCTATTTTCTTGTGTGATGGAGCAACTCTGCTTGGATTTTGTGCTCCAGGACAGGGTAAATGCCGACTGAAGATGTGACACCAGCCAGCGCTGCATACTTAAAGGACAATCTGGAGCCAAAGGTGGTGGCTACGCTTGTAGTCCCAGCTACTCTGGAAGGTGGAAGGCTTGCTTGGGCCCAGGAGAGTCCAGCCTGGGCAAAACAGCAAGACCATCTCTTTAAAAAAGTCTGAAACCAAGACTTCATCTTCTCAGTATTTTTGTGCACTAACTCACACTATTTTGAATAGAAGAACTGAGAGTAGGTGGGAAGAGAATGGGATCTTTTTCCCTTAAGACAGTCAGGGAGTCCAAGAGCAGTATGCGTTCTCAGCAGCCATTTTCAGTGGAGCATTTGACTGTGCCTCTTGTCCCTCACTCTGAACTCCAAATTGGTCATGGAAGAGAATCATCCTTCGTGGAAGTCAGATTGACGCTAAACCAGTTTTCTTTTTACACTGCCTATCTGCATGTAACTTACAAAAAGGAATGTACCAAGCCGCCTTCCTTATAATGCAGCAGAGATTAGATAATGAGGTAAATGTAAGTGCTCTATAAATACTAAATAATATAAAACCAGATTCTGCCACAAAGCCTGGGACCACAGTGATAGTTTGAAAAATGAAAGTTTTGGCTGGGCGCAGTGGCTCACGACTGTAATCCCAGCACTCTGGGAGGCCGAGACAGGCGGATCACCGGGTCAGGAGATCAAGACCATTCTGGCTAACAAGGTGAAACCCCGTCTCTACTAAATATACAAAAATTAGCCGGGTGAGGTGGCGGGCACCTGTAGTCCCAGCTACACGGGAGGCTGAGGCAGGAGAATGGCGTGAACCTGGGAGGTGGAGCTTGCAGTGAGCCGAGATTGTGTCACTGCACTCCAGCCTGGGTGACAGAGTGAGACTCTGTCTTGGGGAAGAAAAAAAAGGAAGTTTTAATTTTTTCCCTGAAATATCTCATATTAACTCCGTGGTAGTGTGATTATGAGGTCTGTCCAATTGAGTGAGAGTATTTGCTCCTGTGGTCAGAAAGAGTCATTATGTACAGCTTGATTAATGGTTAGAGAAGTTGAATATATAATATTAGAAATACATGGATACATGCTGAGTGTTGGTTATAATTTAGGGCTTTTTCCCAAGTTGATGACTGGATTTGTTACTTTCAAGTGTCTCCCAGTATGTACCAGGAGGTGTCTTCTTGGACATATAACTTCATGGACAGCTCCTTGTTTAACTTCTCTGGCTCATGTACTAGAAGATTAACCTTTGAAATGAATGAACATAGCACAAGAGTTATATTCTGGTCCTGAGAAGTACAATGTTGATTTAATATTTTTAGTGAGTCCAGTCATTTCCTGGATTTATTTCAAATAGAATCAGTCAGTCTCCATACCCCCTCCCTCTCTGGTCCTTGCTTGCTATGGTCTGAATGTTTGTGTTCCCCCAAAATTCTTATGTTGAAATCTTCACTACAAAGGTGATGGAATTAGGAGGTGGGGCCTTTGGAAGGTGATTGGGTCATGAGAGTGGAGCCCTCGTGAATGGTATTAGTGCCTTTATAAAAGAAACTGGAGAGACATCCCTCACTCCTTCCACCATGTGAAGGACACGAAAGAAGGTGCTGGCTATGAATCAGAAACTGGGCCCTCACCAGACACCAAATCTGTTTTGATCTTGAACTTCTTAGCTTCCAGAACTGTGAGAAATAAATTTCTGCAATTTATAAGCTACTCAGTTTATAGTATTTTGTTAGAGCAGCTTGAACAGACTAAAACAGTCTAAACGAGATTGTTAGAACCTTTCTCCTTTCAGGAATGTTGGCAGATGATGCTACACTGAAAGCGTTTGTGTGTCACTCTGCCAGGGACATGACGAAAGTGTGAAATGATCATATTGGGTTGGTCTTTTTTGTTTCGTTCTGTTTTGAAACAGAGTCTCACTCTATTGCCCAGGCTGGAGTGCAGTGGTGCGATCTCAGCTCACTGCAACCTCTGTCTCCTGGGTTCAAGTGATTCTCCTGCCTCAGCCTCCCAAGTAGCTGGGACTATAGGCAAGCGCCACCACGCCCGGCTAATTTTTGTATTTTTAGTAGAGACAAGTTTTTGCCATGTTGGTCAGGCTGGTCTTGAACTCCTGACCTCAAGTGTTTCCACCTCGGCCTCCCAAAGTTCTGGGATTACAGGCGTGAGCCACTGCACCCGGCCCATATTGGGTTTTTGTTGGTGTTTTGTTTTTTTCCTTGATGTAATTCATAGGTTCACAGATCATATTGTTAATACATATGAAAACAATTTTTTTTTTTTTGACATTGTTTCACTCTTGTTGCCCAGGCTGGAGTGCAATGGTGCAATCGCAATCTCGCAATCTTGGCTCACCACAACCTCCGCCTCCTGGGTTCAAGCAATTCTCCTGCCTCAGTCTCCCAAGTAGCTGGGATTACAGGCATGTACCATTACGCCTGGCTAATTTTGTATTTTTAGTAGAGATGGGTTTCTCCATGTTGGTCAGGCTGGTCTCAAACTCTAGATCACAGGTGATCCGCCTGCCTCGACCTCCTAAAGTACTGGGATTACAGGCGTGAGCCACTGTGCCTGGTCTGTTTTTTTTTGGTTTTTGTTTTTGTTTTTTAATTTAGGAATTTTTTCCCTGTATAATATTATTTGTTAAGCAACTTATAACTTGTATGTTTTAAATAAGCTTAAATTATTTCACATCATACTTCTGATGAGACTAAACACCATCTTATCTCTTGGAGAAATTGAAAACACAAATGCAGACGGGAATATGTGATACGTGCATTTAATGTGGGTTTTGGTCTTATGTATTCCAATTCTGTTCTGATTTCAGGCTGCGGTGTTATTTAGCAGTTTCTTTAACACCTGCAGCATGGTTAATATACCTGTTACTGTTAATGCTGCCTCTTGCTGAGGCTTCCTCCCTAGAACTTTTGCTAACTTAAGCAAATAGGAAATTTATGGAGAAGATATCGGGTAACTCAAAGAATCAAAGTAAGAACCTAATAATCAGGGTGGAAAGAACAGGAGCCGAGACCCACTCATTCATTCATTCATTCATTCATTCATTCATTTGGCAGATGTGTGCTCAGAATGTTCCAGGTGCTGTGCCTATAGCAATAAACAACATATTCAGAAATTCCTGCCATTCTGGAGACCACATTCTTACAGGGGAGGCAGTCTTGAGACACATAAATAAGTGGCATATTAGCAGGTGGTGAGTGCCAAGGGAAACTACAGCAGGGATGGGGGTAGGAAGCACCCAGGTGGCATGGGTAGTTGCAGTTTCAGATAGTTTTAGACAGGGAGCTACTGACTGATAATCAG